CCTTTGCAGGGGCCATGCAGACAGCGCAACACGCCTGGACAAACACAACACTATTCCTGATGGGTTTGGCGGACGCAGGTCCAAAGAAATGCCACTTCATCTTCAAATCTTACCGTCGCGAGCCCAGCTTTTGTTCAGAGCTTTCTTTGTTAGTTGCGGACTTGCTCTGCATGCAGGCAGTTTGCACTGCTGGCATGTCTAACTTGGGTCAGACATGTTAAGCAGAGCATTCAATCTCCTCAGGTTATGCTGTTAGTGGCGCTGTCGATGATCTTCATTATACCGTTGATCGTATACTTGCTCTCCGCGCCTTTTCTGCAAAGATGTGGCGCTTCCTGTTAGAAAACTTTTGTCAGACGTTCAGGACGCAGCTCAGTTCAAGCTTTTGGCTAGCGCTTTGCACATCGCAGCAAGACTTGTGGTGGGCTCCGGGCCAGCACAACCATTCCCTTTGTATATGAGGCAGATGATGCAAATGGCTGCATTACAGGAACAGGATGGGTTAGCTGTGAGATATCCGTGAACAAATGCATTGAAAACAGGCAAGGCCAGCACCGCAGGATTTCTTCGGATTTTTTTGACGCATTAAGGTACGGAAAACGGCCTTAACGGCCTGCATCGAGCATTTTTTCTCAATCGGCTTACGCAACACAGGAAGACTCCGCCTAATGGTGCCACGTGACCTTCCTTTTTATTCCCAGTGAAACGAAAACAGTTTTTTTGGGTTATCAAACCTGAGCACACCAAAGAAGGAGTAGATAAGAGGCCAAGACTCTCGGCATCACGTAAGCTCCGCCCAGGGCTAGCTTCATACCTTTCACGCAAGTTGGACCTGAAGCAAAGTGCTGGAACGAGATTTGTCTGAATGTTGAAGTTGCCGTGATACTTTCATTAGCCGCCTGCTAGATGTTGCCTGACTCAGGATTCCAGTCCGGGCTTCAGTTGCATGATGGACGTTGAAAGTGGCTCTCGTAGCGAAGTGCTATTTTGTGATAGCCGTGCCCAAGTCTTCACGGCATACTTCCAGAGTCTTTTTGTCGGTTGAATCAAGGCTCGTACGAGGCTGGGTCTGGCGGCAAGCTCCTCGAACGTGGGAGCATGCGACCACCGCCTAGACGAGAGGCTTATCTTGCGTGCTTGCCTTTTGCCACTGAGTGGCGGTCGTTTTACCAAAGTTGTTGGCCAGTCGCGGCGCAGGTGCCTCTGTTGACTGGGCCAAGAGGTGTGCTGCACATGTCAAGAAAAATCGATTCCATTATCTTGCCTTGCTAGGCTCAGAGCAGCGTGTGTCGCTGGAGGCAGCACAGGCCTGCAGCATGTGCATGTGCAGCATGCCATGAGCCATAGACCAAGCCAGGAAGCTGTGCTGTCAATTTGCACTTCGGGCTCACAGGCCCACGCGATGCCACCAACAGCTTTGGCTCGGCCTCGCCCAGATGAAGATCCACCAAAGCTTTGCCTCGAACTAAGTTTTTGGGAATTGGTCCCATGCACTGCGATTCATCATGGCTGGGTGGTGGTGATCGGTGTTGTGCGGAATATTCTATTGAATTCTATTGAAGGCCCCATGCCGTTTTTGAGACGTCTTGCAGTGTTCTGAGTCAGACCAGGATAATAGGAGCCCAGCCCACGCAGTTTGACTTGTGCTGCAGGCACTATGCTTGTTCAGTAACTTCAGGTGCTTCGGGCACACCTTCACCTCACGTCAGCAAACACGTCTTAGGGTGACTGCTTCTGTGTTAGTTGGAAAGCAGAGGGGCTGCCTTTTGGACCGGGTTCAGGTCATTGTTCTCGAAGATGCATGTCTTGAGAAAAAAGACCTAGCCGGGCCCAGCCTTCGAGGGGTATGTCTCAGCTTCATTCGAGTTTGAAGTTTGGAGAGCTAACGGATTCTATCAGCAAATGGCCAGCACAGGAGGCCCCCAAATGACACCACTGCAACCACCTTTGAGGTGAGAATCTCATCCTGCCGAAGCACTTAGCAATCTTCCTCGTGGATGCCGAGCGTACTTGGCTCATTTTTGCAGAGCTTCTCAAGAGATTTTGAGTGGGACCAGACCCTTGGTGGGGTATGCGGCCTGATTTAGGGACAACAGTAGCTGGATAGTGGATATCCTGGATATCCATTCGGGGTCCGACTTTTTTCAATTCTTGGAGCCTTTGCCTCGCGCCTCGCGAATTTGCAAGTCTTCTCAAGCTCAGCTCGAAGTCTTCCGCTGTAGTTTAGCGGACACATCTAGGACAGGCACCTGAGCACTCATGTTGGACACTGCGCAAATCCAGGGTGAGCAAAGCTGTGTGGTCAAGTGCTTCGAGAACCTCACGAAACGGACAAACGCCATTTGTGGCCACAGTACTCAATGCAGCTTTGGACCCTTCCTTTGTGAGCCTTGGAGCTCAGAGAGTTGTCGGCCTGGCACCAGTTTCGCTGGCTCACGGAGGATAAAAATGTGCGCCTGAAAGTCTATCCCTTAGCTGCTGCCAACTGAGGATAGCGGAGGCTTGGATACGTTGCGTATCATAGCAGACCACACCCAGACACATCAAGAAAATTCAGCGCAAGTCCGAGCACACTCAACCCCAACAACTGCACTAGTTCGATGCACTGTCATCCTTCATACAACAAGTATGAGACATCGTGCCATCTGCACGACGTTCGATGACTTGGCGGCAATCGTAAGGATCCACCCACATCCCCCACCCCACGGAGTGCGAGACAGTGCCGTCTCCAGAACAGTCTTGGACATTGAAACATGTACCCACATGGAGAGAGGGCTCGTGTTCTTGACGAACCCATCAGAACCAGGAACCCTTCCGGGATAAATACTGTTGTCGTGTGCAAGATTGCATTTAGACAATATCAAATCGATTAGGTGCAGATGCAGAACGCGCTGTGATGACATCGAATTGATCAGTAAGGGCTTGCATGATGCGTCATTCCATTTCGAGAATACAGAACAATGCAATTGGGACATCGGACGCCGAAGCTCCTGTAGGCTGGCAATCTAAACCATACAGCAGCAAAATGCAAGGACAAGAACCGCTCTCAGAACGCAGGCGGGGGACGTGGGCCGGATGTGAAGCAAAGGGAACCTGACATGAAGCGTCTTGACCTGTCATGTATAACATGTCAAGCATGTCAAACATGCACAACATGAATCCATATACTATGAGCATGCATCACACTGTACTTGTCCTTCAAATGGGCGTCATTCCGAAAATGGCTTCCACTCTGTACATGCAAGTGCGCACGGTGATCAGCCCTTGCTTCCACTGACTTGCCACAGCTTCGTTGGACCGGATAGGCAAGTCAGCTCTGGTCCCCCTGCAAGGTCGAAGAAAACCACCACTCCAACTGTATCAAGCACTCATGCAATGCAAAAACCCTTAGCTTAGAATCTGGGTGCACGCGCACACACTTAGACTTGGCATGACTAACGGACCAGTCAGGGAGGAACCAATGCGTATGCCATTTTGGATCAACAGATCGGAACGGCTCCAGATTCAGTACGATTCTCATCTTTCCCACCTCACCCTCCCTTAGACGGAAATCAACCTCGTTATACTTGTTTACTTTTCGTCCATTTTCTGTATGGTCTTTGTATATACACGTATGTCTGACAGCGAACGGATATCGTTCGCATGTGAACCGGAACCCTCTGGATCTTGGATACATTCATAATGAACCGGTTCCTCCGTAACGGAAAGCCAGAGGTTCACCAGATCAGTTGAATTTGGCTTCAGAGACTATACGAACGGCCATCGCTGAGGGAATGGTTGGAAAACAGCGCTCTCGGCCGCTCTTGTGAACTCTTTTTGCACTGGTTGCATAAAACAATTAATCTGGAGCGTCAAGTTGTCAATTCCTACAACCCGCACCATTCGCCCAAAAATACTTTGTAAAAGGGCGCCCTGGAGAACATTGACTTGATATCAGTCGACGGATTGCCGGTCGGGATCATTCGGCTGGATTTTTCTTTGAAGCAGGTGCCAAGGTATTCATGAAGACGTCAACAAGCCCGGAAAACAAGAAAGGTGGGCGCCTTGTCGAAAGCCCTGCCATGTACAGGTTTCAGGCCTTTCGTGGGATTCCCGTTGATGATTGGCGGGCCGCTGCCATGTAGCCTCATATCTTCATGTCAACCCCAAGAAACTTACCTAGCAGTCCTCGAGAGAAATTTCGTTCTACACCTGAGCAATAGCTGTTGGCTTGGGTGTGTTTGCATGCATGCGAATGGTCATGCATGCGCATGCTCACGCTTAGATCATTTGAATATGGTCACAAGCACAAGATTCGCCATGAAAGTCAAGATAAGTTTCAAACACTTGCGCGCATGCAACGATGGCCAGCACAAACGGTTTTTTTTGTTGTTTGGACAGAAGAACCCGAAAGACAGTTCTAGTGCTGTTGTGAGTCAACTCCTACGCGTAGCCACTTCCGGCTACCGGGGCAGTGAACAAAATCGTTTTTCAGTGTGACAGCGATATGACATGATACCGCAGTCGTTTTTTTTCTTAGATCTCTCAGCTGATTAGCGAGCAGTTGTTCAAGGCATCAGTAGACAAAATGCAAAGCAATCACGCAACGCTGTGCAAAATGTTCCTGCAAATGCATGTCAAAAGGCTTGGTCGTGACCAGCGGCTTGTCGTCCCCTCTCTGACCCCTCAGTGTCATTGCTCGCTGGACAAGCTTGTCGATTGCAAGAAAGGGTTGACGCCTGTAATTGGCCCGTTACCGACCGAGGTTTGAAGAATCCGTCATTTGGGGCGTTCCCGATATGGGGCGGGTCAGGCCATCATCGCAGAACGCAGAGGATCCTTTTCTCCAAACATTGCTCTTGCCAGGCAAGCAGTTGCTCCAAGCCGATTTGCAGGCACCATTGTGCCCCTTGAGTAATGATGTACCTATTTCCTGTGCAAACACAGCAGGACCGCGGTCCTGAGGGACTGCAGCTGTGGATTTGGCCTGTCAATTTGGACTGTCCAGCTGCAGTTGTATTGCAAAGGAGGCTGGCATAGCTTAGTTTTTTGTCAGTGCTGACGTTGGCTCAGTCCATCAGGTCCTCTATGCAATCTGGACTGGAGATTTACAATCGGGACAATCAGTCAGGAGCTTGGTGTTTGGTTTCAAGGGTGTTTGCATGTGAGGGGAAGGGATTCTGGCTACAACGGCTTTGCCGCAAGGGGTGCAGTTGACAGGGCTAAGCATAGAAGATGCCCTTTCGCCAACAAGAGTTTCGGACTTTCTGGTGTGTTCCCTTCGAGCTCTGCTCACCTGTAGGAAGATGTGTTTTGGCTTGCTGATGGGATGACAGTCTTCTTTTAAACGCGAGGAGCAGAAATCTCGCTGAATACCTCGGATTCCTGGAATCCTGCGTCTTGAAGTTTTTGCGTGGCTACATTTAGTTTCTGAATTAAGACTGGATTCTGGCTTTTTCTGGCTAAACGTGTCAAGCTGCGTAATCCGTGATGGTGAACAAGCCGTAACCTTTTTAAGCAAGGATGACCAGCTATAGATTGAAGGAGAATGCAGCAGATTCGAACGAGAACATCCAGCACAAAATCTGGGCAGCTGTTATCTGTCAACTCTGAGCATGATGAAGCAGCATGAAGCAGCGACCTCGATTAACAGATTTTGAGTCCTGATACAGGTTTTACAACTCATTACGCAGCATCCACTCAAACATCAGGAATGCATGAGCAGTAAAAGACTCAACAGTCACAGACGATTGCAGAGATTCATGACCTGCATTTGTCGCCTACGCAGGTTATATGGGTTTCTGGAAAGTGCCGGTGGCAGGGTCATGCTGTGGCGGGCCTAGCGCTTCAAAGTGCCTGGAACCATCGACGGCGAGCCTGGTGTTCAGGATGTGCAATGGTTTTCCGGTCATGGCAGTGGACGGGAATGCGGACGCGTGTCACCCTCAGACATGTGCAGGCGGTCTCGGCAGAGTGAAGCTTCAAAACAGCTCCCAAGGCTCACCTACACTGCCTGCCGAGTGAATGGCAGCATGCTGGCATCGGCAAGTGTTGTGTCTGAAAATCTGTCGGAGTCTTGGGATTTCTGCCGGCTGCCCTCATCACTTTATCGGAGCGCCTCATCGACTAAGGCGTGTTGATGATGTGCGCGAGGGTTGGAAGCTGCAGGTGAAACCAGGCAGTCGCTCATTCTTCTTACATCAGCTCGTGAATTTTGGGTAATGTCATCTTTACAAGATCGGATGTGCATTCTCTTTGTTTTCAGCATGACCAGATGCGTCGCTGTCTGATCATTCATAGATTGCAGCATTCGCAGCCGAGAGGAGTGGACGCCATTGTCATCATGTGTGCCTTCCTGTCATCAATCCTGCTAAATCGACGTTCGGGGTGCTCTTGGCATAAGTTTATCTTGAGACGTGGGTGCTCATCCACGCAGTTGTGCCAAATGTGCCAGTACGTTTACGCCTTCCTTACCCTCGGCGAGTCCGCGGGCATCGATCCTTTCCTCAGCCTGGAGCTTTCGAATGTTTGAGGTTTTGACTGTTTCGACTTTTGGAAATGCCATGCCTTGAGTCCTCGAGGCTGGTCAGTTGCCTCGGATGTGAACTACGTTGAGACTGAGTGTGCAGATTTTCCTGGGTCCTCAAGGAAGGGCCCAAGTCGGCCTCACGTAGCCACTATGGAAGCCTTGCCACCCAGCTGCAGGCCCTTGGCTCTACCAGAAATGAAAACTGGTGCTCGTTCAGAGCGTCCTCGCGCATCTTGATCCCATCAGCTAGCATATCGAAGCAAAGAAAAGCAACATCATAGTTCGTACGGCATGGGGCGCTTGTTCCGAATGATTCCATGCGGAAAAATAGTTGGACCGCATGCATTGCATTGTGCTAGAAGGAGCAGACTGTGCTGTTACCACTGTGGCTTGTGGCAAGAGTTTTTGTTTGCTGGCCTTGGATGACATGCTGCAACCCCGGCAAGCAGCCGAACTCCAAGTAGATGCCATGTTTGAAGTGATTTCGAGAAAGTGAGCTACAGTCTTCCAGAAACCAATTTTGGCATGCCCCACAATCTGGTCTGTGGTCTAGCTGATGGGCGCCAGGACCTGCAAGGCGTCAGTGAATGATGCTTTCGTGGCCACCAGGTGTTTTCAAGTATAGTTGCTGCCAGGAGGTTTGCTCATTCTTCGCTGACCAAAGATCACGAGCGCCTCAGTGACCTGGCTAGAAGTGGAAGAAAACCCATCTGTGCTTTTTGAGTTCTCTTACTCCCACTTTTTGATGTTTCTGCTTGATGGTCCAAGCCGTCAAGGATACAGCAGGATGGGAGGAAAGTACGAAAGGCATCTTATGAAAAGTAAGGCGGGGTAATCCGTGAATGCCTTTAGCTTTAGAGTGTTTGTCCCCTAAGTTGATCAAATCCTTCTCCTAGATCCTTCAAACATGTACCACAACCATTCAAATCTCATTATGAACCTGATGCATGAGCCCTGAACCTTATTCTCAAGTCCCCAGCCTCCTACCCCAATCCACAACTATTTTTCCTGATTCCCACCTGCACATTTTGCTCACGAACTTCTCAAAACGGTGCCGTAGCCGCCTTGTTGGACCTATCTTTGTTAGCCCGAAACCCTTAACACCAGCCATCTTCTTCGCTTCCCCCCCAAAAAAAGAAATCCGAAAGCGTTCCTTCCATCCTCGACTCATTCCATCCTCGACTGACCGATTCCTCAAAAACCGTACACAATCTTCAACTAACCTCTCAGGCTTTGCAAATCACTTCTCTAATTTCAGCCAGGTTTTGAACTACTGACCCTGGGCCCCAAACCAATCAATGCCTAAGCCCTCAAGTTCTACAAGGTGACCGCCCGGTGGCGGATTTTTTTGGTATTATTTGTCCGTTTTTTTTTTTTTTTTTT